GTAATAAAAAGTCGACGTGGTCAAAAGGGTGAGGTCAATGTCTGAGATCCAATTCTGTGGAATGACCCTACAAATGCAATCAGAAGTGATTTTCTCATTTGCAAGAAACCTATGTTACTTGCATATTGTTGTGAGGAAAACACACTGCATAAAGGATGTGGCAGACTGTTTGACACTGTAGCATGATTTTCTCCCCTGAAACCTTAAGGAGAGATTTGAGATTTAATTCAGCTGTCAAATAATTATTCTTCAATGACTAGTTCTAAGACTTTTGACACTTCTCTAATCACCCTCCCCAATGTTGCCAAACCACCCCAAATATACATTCCTTCTAAGTAAAGCCATGCACATGCTGAGGTCAAGGGCAGTGTCAAGGGTTAGGGGACAGACAGACAGACACACACACGCGCGTGCGCCACGGGAAAAGATTTTCTAAGTAAGGCTGTAGATCATCATAAATACACAGTGATAGAAGAAGTATACTCTTAAATTAGAAAGACACAGGGGAACCATGATGGGTTTCTAAGCATATTTTCTTGTTTGAAAAACAACTGGAGGGAACAGACCCATTTGTTAGGTTGGTTAAGACTTTCCTGCAGAGCTCAGAAATCTGAGTTTGGAAGTGGAGAAAGAAGGGAGTATGACAGATCTGGGGCTGTTTGAAGACTGACAGCCCATGGCATGGAGGGAGAGACTGAAATGATAAACTGACACTTTAGAAAAGAGAGGGAAGAAGATAAATATATAAGGGGGCTCACAGGAAAGAAAGGAATCATCAGTGGACTAGAGGTCTGGAGGAGGACTGAGAACAGCTACAATATGAATGAGGAAGACCTTCCCCATCACATTAAGCACAATGAGTTTGTCCTTTGAATTCTCTTTGGATAATTAATTCATTGAGAGACTACTCAAAAACTATCTTGTGATATCGCTTCTATTCTTGTCTTGAAATGTTATTTAACTTTTCATAATATTTATGTCTTATCTCCCCAATTAAACTCTATGTTCCTCCAGAGAATGCACTGTGGAGTCCGATGAGCACCTAAGGTGCTCAACCATAGTTCAAAAAAAATTGTTCACCTAGAAAACTGTTCTTCCTAGTGAGTTTAAAGAGCAAAGAGCTTTAATGATCACAGAAAAGATGAAATAAAACTCTTCAAAGTGAGACAAAGTAAACTCTCCTTTGTTCTGTATACCCATATAAGCTTCTCATGTCTAATAGGATACTCATCAAAACAAGTGCACTTCTTTACTTATAAGTCTGTCTTATCCACTAGTTTGTGCATCTTGGGAGAACAGAGATTATACTCTATTCATCTTTATTGCCCTAGAGTTCAACATAGTGCCCAGCAAATAATAAGTACTCAATAAAGAGAATTCAAAATGAAATCATCCAATTTTCAAAAACATGGGAGGGATCTGACCATATTCACATTTTGAGGGGGATAAAGCCCCAAAAAGAGATTGAAGATCTATGAATGAGAGGAGTTAAATACTAGAATCAGCTCTTAGGAGGCAAATGAAAAAGGGATGGGAATTAACCTCAGATAGAAAAAGAGCCATTTATTGTCTGCCATGTATAAAATATTATGCTTTGCTAATGCCATAGTGGTAATTATCTGGCAATACAGAAGGGTATCAAATCAACACATTAAACACCTTAAACTTACACAATGTAATATGTCAATTACATCTCAATAAAGTGGTAAAGACAGGCTTAGTGTTGTAATGAGATGTCATTAGGTACTAAATTGTCCCTTTCAATATGGGAGATAAAATGAATTAGTCTAAACAAAGAAACAAGAAAAAAAAAAAGCAGGAATAGTACTTTTTAAGGACACTCTGGCTCTTTTGGGTTAAAAATTTTTTTTTTGTAGATGCCAATGTGCTGAGTCAAAGTTTACATTGAGAGCCTTAAAAAAATTAAATTAGATCTGGTCTTTCCCTCCCCTCTCCTTTTCTCTCCAGTACATAGGCCACTCCATTTCTCCCCTGCTCTCCAAAATAAAACAAAACCACATCTACATGCCATTTTAGGGGGCTAAGTGCTTACTATGGACTTGCTATGGACACAAGGGCTGAAAACACTTTTTGTAGAGATGAACAGACTAGGAAGTCCTTTAATGTAGCAAAAAAGGTGGATCATACCAACACAATCACTAGCTACCATGAGTACAGACAAAAGGAAATGAAACAGAACAAGCAGATTTTAAAAAGATGCTGATTAGTGGAAATAAAGGTCAAGGTCAGCTATCTTTTGTGAACTAACTCATTTTATCTCTATGCCCATGTCCTCTTAACTTCTTTCAAAGAAAAAAAAAAAAAAAGGCACTCTCTTATAGAGACATGTCAGAAAAAAGCTGCAGCTAAGTCATTTTTTTACTCTTTTCCTATAATACCTTAATAGGCTCCTGACATATATGTATCATAAAACATTTGGTTTGAGAAACACAGATTAACATAAAACAGATTTCTCTACACCATCATACAATATACATAGAAACAAGATCCTAAACAAAATACCCAAATCAAGAAACAACTTAAAAAAATTAGAACTAAATATGTGATCTAAAAACCAATATGCTTATTATAGTAACAATAGTTAAAAGACTGAACAGTGGCGGCAGTGCTGTGGAGGTGGCAGCAGCAGCTTCCAATTACTTAAAGCTTACTCAGTGCTAGGAATTAAGAGCTTTAGTCGTCATCACAATCCTGTGAGTTTCATGAAAATTCATAACTATACACTATACTATCCAGATTTATGTTTCTTTACCTTAAAAAAAAAAATCAGTGTCCAAAAAAAGGCAAAAAAATAAACCTAAAAAATTACTTGTTAAATTGAAATGTTTCTTTGAAACATTCTTATTTTTTATTTTTGCTATTTTTTATTTTTCCAATATTTATAATACATTTTTCCAACCTTGAGTCACAGAATCACATTTCAAGCAATGTACAATGAAGAACAAAGTATTCTTATTTTTTAAAACCTATACCTTAAGCCCACACACTCTGAAACTGTTTTCAGGGTCACTACAAATGAGCAGGATTTAGTAGCTATTACCATTCTAGAAAGATCTGAAAATAACCCTTTTAGCTTGATCCAGTTTTCTCTGTATTTCATGGATTAGCCTAGAGTCATTACATTCAAAATGATACCAATCACTAATTCTGATTAAAAGGACTGGGCCATTCCAGATAAAGTGTCAAGTCAGCAGCAACCTCAGTTTCCCAGGAAAGCCTGTGAGAAATAATCATAAACCCTGTCTGTAGCTCTAGGGATATCCTTTCTTTATAATATAGCTAATAGATATTTTAGCAACTTTAAAGATAAAAATAAAATTAACAAAAAATCTTTAAATTTTTTATTTAAGTAAGTATTTAAAGCAACTATCACAAAGGAAAATAATGAAATCTGACCACTTTTAATAAAATCTGACTTTAAAACCTCTATACAGTTTTGTTTTCTTTTGAAAAATACTGGGTGCTCTATTAAATTTATTCAGAAAAATCTTTGACAATGTTTTCATGCTTAGTATAATGAGTCTGGTCAAAACATTTTCTCCTTACTAAAACTTTTAGTTTTAGTGTCTAAATTTCTAGTGTTTCTTGATTATGGAAAAAAAGTAACAGTGAGCCAAAATGCTGAATATAATTTTTTAGAGGATATGATTTATCACATTCAATCTGATTTTTTTTAATAGCAGTCTCAAAAAAATTAAAAAATCTTGATCTGTAGCTACAGAAAAAGTATACGTTTTAATTGTGAAGAAAATAATCTTTTGATGGCTTGCAGGATAGAGCACATAAAGATAATTTACCAATAAACTCAGCACGATATCAAATGATAAACTGAAGGTCATAACTAAAATATGGGTTTAACTGAAAATTAACAAGGGTATTTCATTTTTCACTCTGGTTGTTATTTCCATAAAGTTATAGTTAGGCCATATTTTGAAAACCAGAATATTGTGTGTGCTCAAAAGGCAGTTTTTACTTTTAAAAATAACACAATTTTATCTATAAAGCAGTTAGTGCCAACGTTATTTGTTTGCAGACTTGAATTGCCTGAAGTACCATTTAAATTCTTATATAATAAAGCATCATGAGCAGTCTTATCTTAAAGACGGAAGCTTTGCTACTATCAATTTGATATAGAATAGAAACAGAAAAATGCATTAATACTTATCCAGTTATTCTCAGAGGGAAGAAATTTTAACAGCAAATCAAGAGTAGCTCTAACAGGCAAGTCACAAGACTTGAACTACGCTTTACATATAAATACTTCGACAGTGCAGAACTATGGGTGCCTTAGTGATGTATGTGGTGTCACGGTAACATACATCTGAAGAGGTGTAAACCTATACCTCTGAAACATATATATAATATGTATTGTAAAGCAATGTTACCTCAATAAAAAAAAAAATACCTGCTCCTGGGACTCAATTCTTATAGTATATTTTTAAAATTTAATACTGCTTAAGATACAGTTTTTGGTAAATACTTTTACAATGAAAGTAGAGTATTAGGTTAAGTGTAGTGATTAAAAGCAGGGTTCAATCCTAAACTCTTTCACTTATTAGGGCTATATTATTTTGAAGAAATTGATCTTTCCATGCCTCAGTTTCATATATTTTATGGGAAAATAACAATACCTACCTCATTAGGTCGGTATGATGATTAAAAGAAGTTAATCTTTGTAAAGCATTTAGCATAATGCCACACACAGTAAATATTCAATAACTGAGTTCTACTGTTGTTCTGGGTTTTATTGTTGAATACACACAAATTCTCTTCTCATGCTGGGGCTCAATATAACAAACCAAAAAGGACAGAGTAAAAATTTCTCAAAAGGATACAATGATGATTTCTCACCTTTCAGTTACCTGATTTTCTGCAATATTTTCACTTTCTTGTGCTTAAAATAATTTAAATTAGATGCATGAAAACAAGAAGACTGAATGATGTCCTTCACTGAGGTTATCCATACAAAAGCTACCTACCTGTGCAGCTCTTCTGTTTTGTCTTCAGTTGGACCTACAATTAGTAAACAATGGCGAAGAACAGCTGCCATGACACGGAACTGATGAGAATCACTCTGTGACAAATTAAAAAAAGAGAGAAAAAATTGGGGACAGAATGCCTTGGTGAAGGAGTCTGATATATTCCTATATTCCTGGGAGTTATCTTATAGCCCATTTGTCCCCCCCATCCCCACCAAAGTCATTCTTATACCATACATGGTAGAAATCAGGGTATTCTAGGGAGAATTCACAAGGCAATACTCAGTGAATAGTCGAAATCTCATATGAACAGCTACAACCATACCCAGAAATGGCTGAAATCAGAAGCTGATCTAGGCCATTCCTTTAAAGCATGGTCAGGCAGAGACATGATCATCACCCATGCTTTACCTTACTTTAATAATCACTTAAAACTAGGCCTCTTTTCCATCTCCAAAAAGTCTAGGTTTTTCTGTTCCATAATATACTGCTTTTTATAAATGATTTATTCATGCATGCAAGAGCTGGGGTACAGGCCAGAGGTGTGGGGGGTGAGAGGATTCACCAGAGACAGAGCAGGGAGCAGAACAGGCAGATTGACCAAAGTACACTGCTAAGGGGAGCAGCGGGCGAGTCAGGAGAGGCCTGCTGTGCCATGTGGGCAGCTCCCTGGCCGGCCAGGGATTGAACTCTTGCTGCAGAGGCTGCGGATAGCTTCATAGGTTGCATCTTGACCCCTTGCGCCACCATGGAGGCCCCTCTATAATATACTTTTGAGTTCACTAATCATTATAAAACATCAGTTATTTTAGGAGGGGGCTGTATATCTTTAACGAAAATGTCTTACCTCTTCACTTTCAAAAGGGATAGATTAAAATCTGTAATTTATCAATTTTATATTAATGAAACTTGTTAATCTCCAGTTTCCCTATATCTTACTCTTAGTTCTTCCAGAGCTACCAGGAGGTGATTAAAAAAACAAGTAATTGAAGTTTGATCTCCTGTTTTCCCAATGTATACTCACTGGTAGAGATATTAAACAGAAAGAAGGCGGCAAACAGAAGGAAATCAGCTAAAATTCTGGATATTTGGTTTACTTCCTTGTTTTTGGTGATATCTTGGGCCCCTACAATTCCTTTACTCATCTGCATCAAAGTCACATCTTTTCCATATTTTTAGCAATTAAAAGACTATAAAATTACTAATAATGACAGAGATCCAAGATAATGCATACTTCAGGAAGACTCCAATTATGTTAAAAGCTATTTAGAAATTCTAAAACTTTAGTATATAGAATTGATTTTAGGTCTAATGAAAAATACAATATAGTCACATGCTATACATACTATGTCCTTTATTCACACATCTAACAGCCCTTTTAAGGACCAGGAGTCTCTTATGAAATATAACAAATATTAGGGCACACTTGTTACTAATAATATAAAATGACACTATTTTAAACAGAACACCATCAAGTGTAGATTTGGCAGAGGTGAGGCCTCAGGGGCATAATGAAAAAGCATTGCGCTTGGGAGTCTTGGACATGACCTTAGACAAGTTTTATATATATAGCTTCTCTGAGACAAAGTTTCCCCCTATGCATCTCTATAAAATGAATCTGTTAGGACTACAAAATGATTGAAGATGATGCACACCAAAGTGCTTACTACTTTGAATGAAACGCTTGCAAGTGAGAAGATGAAGGAGGAAGGAAATAAAAGACAAAACTGAAAAGAGCAATAAGGAAATAAATGTGTACTGGGAAGAGGAGGGAAAAGGAGAAGAGAGACCCGTGGGAATGTCAGACACTGGAAGTAGTGTAGTATGTTGGAATGATGGCTCTTATTCACCATCTATATTCAAATGCCCAAATCAAAATTCTCTAATATGCAAATTTACTTAGCCCAAATTATAGGCATATTGAAACTCATGTAAAACTCACCCATGACCTAATTCTTAATATTTTCCTTGGTTTTGAAAATTAACTGGGAATACACTTCCTTTTAAACTAGATTTCCTTTTATTCTAGCTATCACAATATTTCTTTTCACACTGATGTTGACAAAAACTCTTGCAAAACTATCCACTTTGGTCTTCCCATTATTTGCAGCTGTAAGCCAAAATCCAACTTTGTTCATCCCATTTCCTGTCCCAACTTGCATAGCACCAGTTCCCACGCTGTACCCTATGCTTGCAATGCTCACTTGTACCATAAAACCACTAAATTCTCTTCTATTTCTCTCTTCAAAACAGCAAAACAACTACTGAAATCTGGCTTGCGTGCCTCTGCCCTTGGCATCACTGATTCCTTTTCATCTCTATGACTTGGCTGAAGTATCTTTTCAGTGAAGCTTGACCACCCTATCTAATTAGTTGTCTTCCCGTATTATTCTCTTATCCACTTTATTACTTTCATAAAATCATAAATTTTAATTTCACATTATATATTTGCTATTATGTTCTTATTCCCACTAATCTGTTACCGTCCCAAAACAAGAGGACATGTGTTTAACAGGTGTTCCATAAATGTTAATGTCAATGGTTATGTGTGACATAACAAAAAACTTCCCAAATCATAAATACACAACAAAATAAATTTTCACAAAATAAGCACATTCATATGGCCAGTACAAAGATGATGCAATGCCAAGATTAAGAACTCCAGAATTCTCCTTATGGCTCCTGCAAATGATACTCTCCCATTCCTAAAGTGTAATCCTAACTTGTAGCATCATGTGTGATTTGTTTTGTCATTGAACTTTAAATAGTGGAATCATAAAATATAGACTATTTTTGTCTAATTGTAAGATTCATTCATGTTGTGCACAGTTAGTTTGTTCATTTTCACTACTTGACAATAGTATGATTCTAAGTATAGTATGTGGACTACAGCTAGTTCACATTCTGTGATGCCATGAGTGCAGGAAATGTGCACGAGTGTGTAGAAACTTTTCAAGTGTGACAGTGTGTAATATGGAATTACATAAGAATTTCATTCTGACAGTGAAAAACTCTGGCCCTTACCATATTTAAGTTAAAAAAGAAAAAGCACTGCTGAATATAATGTATGCATTACAATTTACTTATCCTACTTTTGTTGGACACTTGGATTGTTTGAGGTTAGACTGAAGTTACTGCCAGTGTTTCCAAGTATTTATACCAATTTACACTCCCACCAGTTGCACTGTAGCTTCACCAATGCTGGCAGTCATTTTTCTGGGTGTACCGTGGTCTTTCAATTTTATTATGCATTTTGCTAGAAACTAATAAAGGTGGACAGCTTTTCATATGTCTATTGGGCATCTGGATAAGCCTTTTGTGAAATGCTTATTCCAGTGTTTTGCCTATTTTTCCATTGGGTGGACTGGCTTTATGCATTTGTAGTACTTTTTAATGTGTTCTGGATAGAGTCCTTATCACGCATCTATGTTGCAAATATCTTCCCCCATTCGGTGGTTTTCATTAAGATGAGCTCATCATGAGAATAATTTGTTTATTTTTTCTTTATGGCTTGATCTTTATTTTGTCCTGTTTCAGAAATCTTTACTTAAGAAATGTCTGACTTCTTAAAATCATGAAAATAACCTGTTCTAAAAGTTTTACTGTTTTGCCTTTTACATTTAGATCTCTTATCCATCTCAAATTAATATTTTTTGTATGGTATAAGACATTCATTTTTGTCTATACAGCTATACAAATGAGTCACTGCAACTTATTAAAAAGTCTCTTTCCCCACAGCATGTCAATGTTATCTGTATCATAAATCAGTTGCGTGTATGTGTAGGTTGTTATCTAGACTATTCTATTAGTCTATGTCTCAATAAATATTTGTTGAATGAGTACTATCACTTAAGAGTATTACTTAGCAAAGATTAGAGAGGGCACTATTTTCTGCTATTGGTTATTCTGCAGTGAGACTTTACATAAATAAACTCTGATCATCTGTGTCCTCATTTGTCAAGTGGGGTTAATACTCCTGTTTCACAAGGATGCTGAAAGGATTAAATATAATTGCTCTTTATAAAACATTGTACATAGTTTATACAACTCTGATTTATTTGCTCCATGATCTTAGTTTTGATTATCTCTGAGGCATCATTATTCTCTTCTCTCAAATGATACTCTCTCCCAGGTTGAAAAGGAAAAAGCCCCGAAGGACAAAGAGGAAGAAAAGAGAAGGCAAGCAGGTTTGTTGTGATAGCAGAAATCAAAATGAAATAGGCTAATACTTAAAATTGTTTGGGATCTCTTTATAAAAGAATCTTCACTTCTCAAGTACAGATCCTACTATTGCACTGTTGCTTTTCTTTCACCTCTGAAAGTTTGGAAATTTTACTTTTCTTTGGTAAAGTATCATTAATTCCTCACACCTTTCATTTGAAACTTTGACCAATCTAATTATTGCTAGATAGCCTGAAAGAATATTTAGCACCAATAAATTGGCTCTGATTATCCCAAAGTAGTTCTAATTAATGAAGGTTAAGGAAACTTTAGGAAAATTGTATTTCAATTACATAAAGTGCATGCACGTGCGCACATGGGGGCACACACATGCACTCTTAACTGGTATTATAGCATTTCATTTCAGGTAGCATTTCATCTTACGTTTTACCTGAGTTCTTTGCTTACCTTTACCATAGTTAATTGTCCTACTAAATTGTTTATGTTCAAAAATCTCTGTCCCTTTATAGGGAAAGATTATGCATTTTATCACCACATCTTCCGCATCTAACATGGTGCTGCACATAAATAATTTTTTGAATTAACTTATGAAAGGAGACATTAATGTTATAAAGTGTTAGATAGCCCAAAAGGCTAGAAATCTGCTGCTCTAAACAATGTTATTAATAGAGAATTCTTACAAGCTTTGAAGATTTAAAAGGTACCATAAATGCTCCTCTCTCTCCCTGTCAACTTTGGGCTATTTCTTCTGTATTTTATGCTGTATAGATATCAAACTATATTATATCACATTTTATTTTTCATTAAACAAGTATTTACTGAATGTCTTCTCTCTGGTAGGTATTGTATTTATAAGAATATATCAGTGAAATTAGACCAGAGATCTAGACATATTTCATTTGAAGCATCTGTGTACTACAGAGGTTATTCTTTTTTCAAACATACAAAAAAAAGAGAAAATAATGTAACAAACAATTGTATAACCACCTCTCTTTATATGCCTGATTTTCCTATTAGACTATTACTTCTTTGAGGCCAGTGATATTTTATCTTGTATACCTAACAGAACATGGTACATTTTGGGCATTCAAAAAATGCTGGAAAAGTGATTCAGTTAAAAAAAAAAAAAAAGTAAAGCTGGAAGCTTTTTTCTATTTGATTAATACTATATCCTTTTGTCACATTTCCCTCAAAGTCCCTATTTTGGAACCAACCTCTTTTATTATAAGGGACATTTCCAATTAAACATCTATGGATCGCTGCTCCCTTCAGCAGTGTATTTTGTCCGTCCGCCTGTTCTGTTCCCTGCTCTGGTGAATTCTCTCACCCTCCCGCACTTCTGACTATACCCAGTGCTTGTATAAATAAATAAATCTTTAAAAAAAAAAAAAAAGTCTATTGACATTTACTGTTTATAATCTCAAATTAGCATCCTTTGCTCAGCTAATTGTACTGTTTCTCTGTTTGCACTGGTTGTTAGGCTCTAAAATGTGTCAGTCCTTGCATTTTTTTCATTTCATTGCAGAGGTTCCTGGGAAGTATTGCTGAAGACAATGTGTGCTAACTCAGGATCTCTAGAATAACATGCTTTCTTCCATCAAAAGAGATTTAGCAAAATGTTAAAGCAGGAGGAACACAATTCTAACTTTTCTAGAATTGGCTTCCGGGCCTACTAAAGCAACCACTGGCCCTGTTAAACATACTACCTTCAGGAAGAGAATGAGGAAGGGCTATAGGGATGGAAGGCTGATACCACACTTCGTACTGAAAAGAGGAATCTCCAAATCTGCTGGTGGCATCAGCAGACAGTAAGGACTTTAACACTAAGGCATGAATCTAAAATGAGTAAATGGCACAAATTTGCAAAATCTTAAATAAAACCTAGTCATTAATTTTCGAGTTTTGGCAAACTATAAATGAATAATAAAACCTATTAAACAGCTCAAACCAAACCATCTGTTTTTCTGTAATGGTTGAGCTGTAAAAATAGGTAAAGATTTTTTTTTTTTTTAAAAAAAAGAAATGCCCATGGTTTGAAAAGGCATAAGCTAGCAGTATTTTTCCTAAAAGTCAATTTGGCAATATACAATCAAAAAACCTTACAGTTTTGAAAAACTTTGGCCCAACAATTTCAGGAATTTACCTACTAAATTTTACAAGAAAATTCACTGTATTGGGCCTCCCCTGGTGGCGCAGCGGTTGAGTGCTGGGCTGCGAAGCTGCCTGCAGCCTTTGCAGTGCCGGTTCAATCCCTGGCCACCGGTGAGGGTCCCACATGGCACGCAGACCTCTCCGGTCGTGCCTGCTGCTCCCATCAGCAGTGTATTTCATCAGTCTGCCTGTTCTGTTCCCCACTCTGGCTCTGGTGAATCCTCTCACCTTCCTGCGCTTCTGACTATACCCAGTGCTTGTATAAATAAAATCTTTAAAAAAAAAAAAAAAAAAAGGAAGAAAATTCACTGTATTACCATTTAAAATAGCAAATGACTACAAGCAATGCCTGCACATGAGATTTGTTAAATGTTGGTAAATCCTTACGAAGGCTAAATCCTTAAAAAGAGTTACCATTTTTAATAAAAAGAAGAAAGCGGTTGTCAAAAAACTTTTTTGGGGGGCTACAGATCTATTTTTATCCCCCTAAATGAAATCTAAATACAACTTAAAGGTAAATAATAGCAACAATCAAAGGTAATCTTTTTCAGGTAAAGGTGGGGAACCTGAAACACTGCCCATTTCATCCCCAGAAGCTACTCCTAGAACTTCAATAAGGCTTCAAGGAATACATTTTGAAAATCACTACTTTTCAAGAACATTTACTCTAAGACAAAAAAAAAGATTATAAAATGGCTGCATTTAAAAATATTAAACATGTCTAATTTACATATTATACAATGAAGAACAGGTTAGAAAGATACACATCTTTGGTATTTTATAGTTAATTCATATTTTCTTATTGCTTGTATCTTTTTTTCTTAAATCTTCCACAATGAGAAGAATTTTTTTATATTCCTTTCTAGTAAGGAAAACAATGTTAGCTTTTTTTTAAGCTGGACTGTATAATAACTTTTCCATGTGGTTGCATAACTGATTTACATCTCACAAGAGGGACTAAATCTGCTGAGACGCCTGCTTCAGGACTACAGATCCTTTTCATGTACACTCTGAAGAAGAAACATTCTACAACACAGAAAGAGTATTTGCTACTTCAACATTTAAAAGCTTCTTCTAACCCCACTATTACCATTAAAGAAGACTAAGAGGGCTAATCTCAATTTACTGACATTGCATGTCATCCCATACATATACTGATGTGTAGCCACTGAATTATTAACCCTTTATGTCAGGAAACTGAACAGTGAGTTACTATTTGGGGCACAATTTAAATAGCACAGGTTCTAACTATGGCAAACCAACAATGTCAGAAGAGTTCTTGTAACTAAATGGAGAACTTCAAAACACCAAAAAAAGCAGTGTAAGAAAAATAACCATAGAAAGTACCAAATAAGTAGAGATATAACATTTTAAATACTTCCAATATTTGGTTTCAAAGCATAAAAGGAGTATGTGGGCTTTCCACATATTTTCTTGCCAAGCCCCAGGAAAAACTGACCATATTACAGTCATCTGAAACATCTGTTAGGACAGATCTTCAAATATTTGGTTTCAAAATAAAGACCTATTAGCACTTTAATTCAGAAGCCTACACACTCCTATAGCACTGCCCTTAGATAATCCTGTCAAAATAGACTGCTGGCAAAAACAGATCTGTATTCACAGTGAGAACTGCTTCCCGTGGACACAGCAAAATATTAATATAAGTACTAAAGTTAACTGTCAGAAAAGGTAATTTGCTCTGGTACCAAAATACTTTTCTTTCTTTTTTTAAAAAGGGTTGAATTTTACCAGTTACTTAATGTTAAAGAAAGAGGGTAAATGGGGAACGTTAACATTCTAGAAGGATAAATTCTATGTCCACTTCATTTAAAACTGTTGAGTTCCTTTAACTCAGTTTCTAGTTTATTAGCATATTGTTATTGTGGGTACTTAAATATACACTATCAAATCTGCCTCACTTTGGGTTGCTAGAAGGTCCAAGCCACAGAAAAAGATAGTAGTCTAGAAATGAGTCAAGTGGTTTAAAATAACCTTCCCTACATTGTGGTATAACTATGCTTATTTTCTAGGATTGTATACAAACGTGGACATCCAGTTGTAGTCCTATACTTTTGGTATTTGTCTATCACTGTTAAGTAATAGTATAGAAGACTGTGATGATAGGTGACATACGCAGCATTTTCTACTCTTCTGAGCAGACATCAATTCTGATTGATTCATTTCAACAGGCATGATTTATCTTAACTTTTCTTTAAGATGGCAGTCATTGAAAATACTTATGTATTTATGAACCACACTGTCTTGTTTCCCTTCACATCTTATCACTGAAACCATGCTGCTGAAGGGGGCACTCAAAAAAAGACATGTGATAGTAGAATTCAGAAAAGGAATTATACGCGGCATCGTATAAAACAGAAACGAATCAATCAGAATTGATGTCTGCTGTTTCCCTTCACATCTTATCACTGAAATCATGCTGCTGAAGGGGGCACTCAAAAAAAGACATGTGATAGTACAATTCAGAAAAGGAATTATACGCAGCATCGTATAAAACAGTAATCCAACTTCACCCTATTCCTCTGATCAGTGGTACACAAATGGAAAGAGTAACACAATGGCTAAGAAATGTATCTTGAGACATACAAATGATTAAAGGGGGAATTAGAAACTTTTTTCATTTCCCAACTTAGCATTTCTCTTTTGCAGGCAGCTCCAGGCACGCCCCAGACCCATTAAATTCTAGGTAGATAAAAATACCCTTCTCAAGCTTACCTCTTTATGCACCTTCCAACTGTCTACCGTCACATTGAAGAGAGCTTTGAGGGCCTCAATGGCACAGTCTGTCTCCTGAGGTGAGAGAGGAGGTCCATTATGGTCTATGGCCGATTCATACTCATCGGTCCACTTGATGCTAAAGGCACTTTCCAAGATCTGGGTTAGCAGCGGTAGTCCCTGGAGCTCATAGCGCAATTGTGACCTGATGTCGGTGTGCAAAAGTGACAGGAGGAAGAGCAAGCGCAAGTCAAAGCACTTAATGTCACTGATAAACTTTCGGTCCTTGCACTTTCTCAGGAGGTTACAGAGCTTTGCAGCAAGGTTAAGTTCCAGACTGAGCTGCTGTGCCATCTGACTGTTGAACACTATGTTACACAGACATTTTAACGACTCCACAATAACTGGGAACTCTGACACCTTCTCCAAAGAATCATCTGATTCATTTAGCTTGGCTAGTCGTAGCAATATCTGCATATTTTCCTTGGTTGTTACAGGAACTAAAACCTTTTTGTCTCTGGAAAGAATTCGGAGAACTTCCAGGCAGGACACTTGACATGTTGTTGGGATGTCTTTTACAAGGACTTTAAATATGCCTTCACAGAGTTTCTGAAAAACAAGTATGCAAAAGTCATTATTTGACTTGTGTGTGACTTACATGATTTAAAATAATACTTTTCCATCAATGTATTTAATAAAAGTTAGGGATCTGGCTAGGAAAAAAATTGTTTTAATTACAGAATGTTGGAACTGAAAGAGACCTTACACTTAGTGCACTTCTTTCATTTTACAGACATAGAAATTGAGAGCCAGAGAGTTAAGTAGGCTGTGCTTATCCAGTGGATAAGTGAGACATTATATATATATATATATATATATATATATATATATATATATATATAATGTTTCCTAAATTGCAGCCCAATACTCTCGTTATAAAACCACTTATTTTCTTTTGAATTGAGTAGTTTCAAACATCTTATACAGCTTTGTTCTCAAAGAATTTTTAACACCAGATTACATATAGTATCAAGTTGAAACACAATCAGTCTGAATCATAAGGATGTTCCCTTTCTAGGAGTAAAGATTAATGCCTTGAGAACTGGTTCACACGTTGCCCACAGTACAAGCTCTTCTTATAAAGACTTAAAAGTGTGCGTTTCTGCTGTTTCAGCAGTGCTTTTTTCCTGAATTTACAGTTCTCTCGCAGCAGCCCCCATGTCTTACAACTCTCATTACCTAACATCTAATTACATTTAATAGTCAAATGACCCCAGAGAAAACCTGCTGCTGACAAAATTTCCAAGTGCTGGATTCCGAAGAGGGCTCAGTTAGCATATATGGTGCTTTTGAGCGAATTACAAGAAGTTACTCTCCCTCCAGGCCTGCTAGCTACAAAAGTGCTCCTGTTGGCTCTACAAAACAGAAAAAGCCGCCCCTCTCTGGGTAGTCTGTGCCAGGACACATGGCTTGGGAAGCACAGAGTGGGGCAGGATTCTAGCTCCCTTTGTTCTCCTGGTTTAGGGCACAGACCACACAAGTGTATCTAGTAACCACACGCAAATCTTGCTACCAGTATCTCAGAACCAATTCTCTGAGGATGGATCCCAAGTGTACTCATCTTTTATTTTTTGAAAAATATTCCTATCAGTGCCAAATTTAAGAACCATTCTTTCAAATTTCAACATTTAGTTTTCTTCTCTATAACTACCGGTCTGGGTCTCTCTAGCTCGTAACTTATATAGAATAAACAAGGTAAGCACCGTACTGTTGACCAAGTCAGTACCCACTACATCTTATAAAAACAACAGTAACAACAACTATGACCAACATAAGAGTTTACAAGGTTTCTATTAACTCAGATTTTATCTATTTAAAAAGAGGCCATCTGTGGGCCCAGCATTATGATCTGCAGAAACCCTGAACTATGTGTACTTTCTCAGGACATTCTAATTGTGCAACTATGGAAACACCAATTGAAAAAGTACTATACTCTCTACGTGGAAGTGGGAAGGAAACAGCCTAACAAGCTAAACAAATTACATAACAATGTCAGCTCTATTCCTGCCATACCTGACAACTAGAAGGGATTTTCACCTAATTTTTTAATATTATTGTTGAAGTATTTTTTAAATGAATACAATTGGAGGTTGGTGTGGAAATAAAATGTGTCCATTATTGAAAATATATAAAACAGGGAAATTTTTCTCCAATTTCAGGTCTTTCACATCTAAGACAAAACCATATCATAGTCTACATACAAATTCCTATGTGGTATATTCCTGGAGGTAGAGTCTGATAACTTTTCTTCCCAAATATGTTTAGTCAAGAGGGAAATAATCTACCTTCCTATTTAAGAAATATGTAATAAATGATTTAAAATAAGATATTGCATGTGATTTTGAAGTTCTGCACATCTAATAAAATACAGGCATCTTCCTTTCTAAGCCAAATCATCCTTCCTTTCTATACCAAAATGGCAGCAACAATCCTGCCCCCTGCCCCCAATCTGTGGGCAATTTGGTTCTTTCCTTCTACTTTCAGAGCCAAGCAAGAGTAAAGCATGAATGCAAATTGGAATAGCCAAAGTTATAAACCAAATGAACTGTGACACTCTGGGACACAAGGTTACATGAATGAGATTAGAAGTATCTACAAAATTTGTATTTAAAAACCGCCTCATCTAAAAGCTTGCTAGATCAACTAGTAACCAAAAGCAGTTTTTAATTATATTTGTTCTTCAACATGCCATTTCTTGGTACAGACTTGCTTTACATAATAATTGTTAGGTAGTTTTTGGGTTTAAATGACCTTTGAAACGTAAAGTTACTTTTTGTACAAAGACTCTTCTCTCCCCTTTCCTTTTGAAGTAGAACTTTTTAAAATTCATGCTTAAAATACAACAAAAGAAATGACATTTTATAAATACTCATTGCTTTATTCAATACTATCATTTATATTCAGAGAATATTATAAAGAACGAATTAACAAATTATGTTCTCACTCGGATGAATCAGGAAAGTTCTGCTTTGCCTATATACACCAAGCAGGCTGAAGAGGGAGCATTTTTTATAATTCTTCCATCTGTGTATACACGCACTACTTCTAAGTTTAAAAGATGCTCCTGTATTTTGCCCTAGCAGTACTTTCCGTGCTATAACTATCTTATCAGTTGATTTTATTCTTCCTAAAACAGGTCCTGCTCTCTTGATCACTGTCCACAGCTTCCTGCTGCCCTGAGAACACAGCTGAAATGAACCCAGTGTCCACCTTCCCACTGCTGTCTCTGTACACTCTCCTCCCTTTTCTCTCCAAGGGTTCCTAACGGACTCCCAGCCCCCCTGACCACACATCCTGAAGGCATGGTCCCTCCAGCACTGGCATGCCATGTCTGTCAGCCAGGGCCCCACCCACTTCCTGAGGCTCACTTTGAAGACCAAAAGGTCTATAAGCCTCCAGTCACTCTCTTTCTTGCTTTCTTTCTCTTTGGCCTTCAAAAAGCACTTATTTTCTGCCTTTTAATAAAGTGAGCTGTGGCCCAACAGCTAGCCCAGGTGAGTGATAATTACTTTTAAGTGCAAGCAAACAACCCCCCAGATTACCTGCCTTAAAGTCTACACCTGATTCTCCAGCACCTTTCCAGAGTGCTCCTTTGTATACTCCTACACTAGCCACCAAGCATGATCAAGTTTTCTGTTTGCAAGTGCAATAAACTATCATTACATTTGATTTTAGGCACATACTACTTTTATTTACACAAACTTATTTTCATTGTTTAACAGATGTATTCTAATCTGAAAATTATTTGGGCATCTTAGATGTTGATGGAACACAACATTAACTTTTCCATTAATATTAATAGAAATGTTTTCTGATTTGATTACTTTTCGCAGCGGTCAGGTTTTTAGGAATTAACTAAAGTCATTAAACAAAGGTTACTAGGTATGCTTACAAAGTATATTACCAAGAATCAAAGAGTCTGAGAAAAACCCTTTTAAAAATGCTTATTAACTTGGAATATCATGCTATATCTATAAAGTCAGATAGCAAGGACCAGCAGCAGAAACCCAAGAGTAGGGTCCCAAATGGTTCGTAAATACTAATACCAGATACTGCCCCCAAATTTGTTTAATAGTTTGCTCCTGAATTGAAATCCTAGAGTATATTACTGCTACAGTGCTCAAACGTAAAAAAGCATTATAACCACCTATAGTGCCAGCAAGCACAGCCCAAGTTCTCTATCGATTTGGGCAGATGGATAAAGGAACGTCTTGGAGCCCTCAGTGTTTTTTTCAGGTTTTAATGCTCTTTCTACCCCAATTGTTGTGGGGCAAGCCTGAAGGCTGGCAAGGCAGGGAGACAGGGAGGCTGATAAGCAAATCTTACTCTCTTTCTGGGCTCTCTGGCATTCTCTCATGGTCTCTTCCACTCGTAGTAGCCGTTGCTCATCCTCTCACAGCCATTTCGCCATAGCTGTTTTCATGTGTGAGTGAGGCCGCCCTTATGTAGCCTTAGCCTCCAGGCTCAGGTGTGCCCACTTAAGCATGCCGCACCATGCTCCAGGTGTCCACAATCAGGCACACGGGCCCTGAGTCCAGCCTCCCAAGTGCCTCCTACTTTAACTGCAGGTGATAGCCACCGAGGCTAGTGGCACAAAAGCCCGACCATCTTTATTTACCCTACACCACCTAAAGGGTTTATTACCACACTGTTGCATATCACCTCCAGAGTTTCCACTTCATTAGGTCTAGAGTGAGGCTTTACAAAAGTGGGACTTTGGGCAAGTTGCTGTTGCTGCTGGTTCAGGAGCCACACTGTGAGAACCACTGAACTATGGTTAACTAACAATTAGATATTAGGGTTATCTGAGAGTAACTGAGCAGATAAGCATAGAAAAGTAGGCAGAACTGAAAGCTATCAGCACAGATATCTTCTCTTTGACTACCCTGTACTCAAGATGCATAATGGCAGCAGGGATGGGAATAGGATATCATTGTCTGGTCACATCACTACTAGAGGTATGAAATAGTTATTTAAGGTTCGTGATCCTGGCCTTAGAACATGTTCAACCTATCATGTACTACAGAACTGAAGAGTGTTCTAATTAAGAGTAAGATTTCTAGATATGTGTTCAAACCCTGGCTCGTCCACTTATTAACCACACCAAGTTACTGAGTCTCTCTGGACCTCATATACTGCAAAAATTAAAGAATATCACTTTTTATAAAAGTGATTGGTATGTGATAAATGTTAGGTACAGGTGATGTGTTACGTATTATTGTGAGATAAAAATCTCAGTCTTCAGTTTAGTATTTAAGAACCTCCAACTAACTTTTGAGTCTTTCAAACTATTCCCTTATCAAACCCTTCTCTCCAGCTATCTTCCTTTCCAAATAATCTTTTAAGGTAAGTGATAATCAGGCTTTTCTGCCTTCCCACCATTAGGATTAATGATGGATCCCTGTGATCCTAAATGCATGCCTGATGGCAGGTACCTGGGATGTGGGCATACGTAGGTGGGTACACATGGGCTGAGAGTGGGCTTATAAGGGTGGCATCACCAGGAACCAAGAGAAGAGCAGAAGAGAGAACGAGTACCACACAAGAGC